ATAAGTAAAATTCTAAGTCTATGACAACAATTCAAAAACATGGAGGAGGTAAACATTCTTAAAACGGTCACATTTGTTATTGTACCTTTAAGATAAAGAGATCCTTCATTCGTCCCAAAGCGGGGAAAGTTCAGTGTTGCATCACAAGTGACAGAACAGTAGGAATGAGGAGCACACAGCACATGTTAAATGAACAATAGCTATACTAATAAAAAATAAAAGACATCTCTAACTCTAGCATCTAAGACACAAGACAAATCTCTATCTTTCACATAATGAAGAAGTATAAATTCTCTAATCTTCTTGGCAGTTTCACCGCCGTCTCCCATCCAGATACTAACTGCTCTGCACTGCTGAACTTCTTACAGGCAGGTTCTTCTAAACTTTTGATTCTAATCTGTTACTTAAAAATCACTGACTATACCCTGAGTTTATGAAAAGATAAAATAAACAAAACATCTTCACGGAGATATAAAAGTGTACAAAAACACAACCATAATAAAAATAACTTTAAAGTGACACAGTGGGAGTTGAACGAAAAAGGAATGAAAAATGGGCCCAAACTCTCACATCAAATGATTGTAGTGTTTCCTATTGGCCTCTGACAACGTTCTCTTTGATTCCCCTGACGTCTGTGTAATTCCAGCAGCGCCTCGGCCTCGGCTGGGACCAAACACTCTCCTCGCTCATAATTGGAACGGGAGGTTGTCGCGGGTTACCAGGAAAAAGCACAGCGACACGACCAATTTGCAAAGGCAGCCGAGCGAGGAATAATTTGGCCCCTAATCTGTCCTAAAACCTCGGGAGTTTGCGTGTGGCCAAACATCCAAACACATGAGGCGGAAATGGAGCTGAAAGGTTAGGTTTCTTGGACAGTGGTGTAATTATGAGAGGGACCTGTATAATATTATTTTCAACTGCAGCAGCTTCAGCACAATCAGAACCGCTTCTCCACATCTGGAAAGCTGCCATTGGTGGAATATATTTTCACAAACCATACAGGTAAACACTGGAAAAAGAAAAACTCTTGGTAATATTTATTTACATTTATTGAATGCCTTTTTTTCTTTATTTTACTAGTTTTAAGATAATAATACTTCCTAATCTTAGAGAATAAAGTCGTAGCAGTGAGTTTTTAATGCTTGTTTTAAGTAGTTTTTCTTATTTCCATAAAACTCTTCTTGTTGTTTAAGATAAGCTAAGACACATGTGACACATGTTAAAGATTCAAAATAAAGTCTGTGCAGGATATAATTATGTACAATAAAAAAGAGTGGCCATAGCAGTGCTGGTTTTTTCAGTCCTAGTGCATTAGTGACTTAAAGTGACTTGTTGTACAGTCTGACAGCGGTGGGGATGAAGGCCCTGCTGTAGCGGCCGTTCTTGCACTGAGGGTGCCTCAGTCTTTCACTAAAATAAGTAAGTGATGCTATATTTTAAGAAATAAGAAAATCATACTTGAAATGTATGTTTTTGTACAAGCATAAAGTCTTTTGGGGCTAGTATTTTTTTTATACTCAGATTTTTTTGATTTTCAGAAGTCTTACTTTCTTTTTCTGTTGGCAGATCTTATTAGAGCGAGTTATAAGGGTCCACCTGAGATTTAGGTGTTTGTCCCTGGGCCCTGATGAATGTCTCTGGCATATGGTGATAATCAGTGTGAGTTTTTGTTGTGGTTTTAAACTGGATTTTGAGTCTGTCTGAGTTTGCCTAAAAAGATGTGGAAGAAGGAATGTGGCAGTGAGAGCGCTTCTCCAGTTTCAATGTTGTGTTGTTCAAAATGATTGCAGCACAGAGCAGCGTGGGGATCCCCAGGCAAAAGTTATTATCACTTCTAAATCAACTACTTACTGTATAAAGCAATATATTTGAACCTGAAAGTTTCATCAGCTGTGTGGAAATTGGTGGTATTTAATATTAAACTAAAGTTGGCTTTTATGCCTTAAACACAGAATTTAAAACTCTCCATCCATGCAGGAAATATCTATTATGTTCTTTGTTTTTTCTTTGTAGAATGTTCTTTAAGTCGACAATTACGACACCTGTAGTTTTCCTGTCACAACATTTGTTTTGTTTTTTGTAAATGCCTTGATTGTTTATTATTTCGAACGTAACTTGAACTGATCAACAGCTGCACCTTTGAAGTGACGGTAATGTGTGCATATAGTGTTTATTTTGTCACTATTGAATCATAAAAGTGAGTGGGAGGCGGCTCCATGAAACGACGTGACAGTTGTGTCAACACACACAGACAATACCATCTGTTTCCCGCTCATATTCTTACAAGTGCTCCATCAGGAGCAGTAAACAAGCAGATATGGAGTGGGGGGGGGCAATATAATGCTAATGTCACTATTCTTCTTACGTTTTTAAAACAGAATCCAAACACAGACTCAAGAAAAAACAAATATTTAATTTGTTATATTTTTTTGACAGATTGGGCCTTAGCAGACTTCTCCAACTGTGTTTGTCTGGAGCGGCTGAGAGTTTGTCTAAAAGATAAAAAGATATATATTTTATTATTATAAAATTATTAATTTGGTCTTATGAGTTTATTCAAAATGTTGCTGAAGTATTTTGTATTCGACCGACTTTCCTTCATTTTCACTCTCAAAGACAATGCTCAAATGTCGAATTTTTCAAAGGGATCCTCTGCAGTGAATTCTGGGTAGCGATAGACTTGTGCACTGCCGTCACTGCTTCGCTTTGTGTATCTATGTTTGTGTATCAACTGTGTTTCGAAGCGTTTTCTTGTTACACTGACATCTAGTGGACAAATGTAATCACTGCAGCTTCTGAATAGCAGTAGAGTCCCCACCCCCTCGGGACTCGCTCAACTCATCCGCTGTGTTCCGGGATCTCTCACATTACAAATGGAGCTTAAGCGCAAATTCAGACTTGAAGACTACATGCTGCAGTTTCATCCCATCCATGGCCAGCCTCTCCATCCTCAGCCAATCACAAAGCTCGGCCAGCCCCTTCAACAGCGAAGCGGGCAGTTTAAAAGCTGCCACTTCCTACTAACCATCGCTTCCTAAAGGTCTTGCTACCCACCACCTCCCCAGCTCCTCCGGCTCCTGTTGTAGCTCCTGCTGTGGCTCCTGCTCTGGCTCCTCATCTGGCTCCTGCTGTAGCTCCTGGTTCTGGCTGCTGCTCCGCCTGCTCCGCCTGCGCCCCATTCTCACCATACCCTCTGTCCACCACCAGTGCTTGACTCCGGGGACCTGAGATCATCTTCAGCAGCAATGATCTCCCCTTTGCAAATGTCACTGCCAGTGTCAATGCCCCATTCATTAAATCTTTCTAAAATGCATTTTGTGTCTGAGGAGGTGCGTGCTGAACCTCTTGAGCATGTTGTTAGTCATAGGGGAAACTGGAGCACCTGGAGAAAACCTACACAGACATTGGGAGCACAGGCAAACTCTGAAGCCAGGACCTTCTCGCCTCTAACACATTGGATAACAGTATCATTTATAGTTTGACTGCCCTAAAATGGATAAATTCAACACAATACATAGCAAACAGAATCCTACTAAACACAAGTAGTTCAAATTCCAACTCAATATGTTTCCAAAGTCAGGGAAATGTTATACCAAGTTCAACCGACAATTTGCAAGACGGCTTCATCACACATTATCATGCGTAAACTTCAAATTCAATTGTGTTATAATAGCTCAACGGAAAGATATCCCAGAAAAGTAATTGGTTCCAACTTAATATGCATTGAGCGAGGCAGTCAATGGGTTATTGAAATTCCCTGTAATAATAAAAGAAAAATGAATCTCCTCTACAGCCATTGTTCAAAACATGTCGAGAAAAATATTTGAAAAACTGAGCTCACAGTCACTAAATAAGCAAAACTGATGTAGCGGAAAAAAAACTTGGAAGTAAAGTAATTTCCACTTTGGGATGTTTCATGAAGACATCACTGCATGTGTTCGTCCATGTTTTGGCGAGCTGCGATTCCAGATCCCATTTGCATTTTTATGAGGAAGCAAAAATGTGTCAAGTTGAGGTTTATAGAAATAATAACCTCATAACAGCAACATTCTAACCTCCTCTTAGCAGACACCATACACTGTATGTACTGAAGCCCAAAAGGGAAGTGCTCATGGTCACAGATGTGCTCCAACCATAGACTGTATATATTAACAGACAGAGTCACACCTATCTCCGCCGTTCAAACTAATGGGCCAAAAATTGTGCTCTACTGGGGCTATCCAAAATGGCCGCGAGTGGTCCCGCCCACAAGAAAATTGTGAAAAAACGCTCCCACTGGCTCCAACTCACTCTGGCCACTATTGACTACCATTTAAAAGTAAACTCATGATTTGTGCCATTTTACATAAAACAATCTGTGGTTTAACACCCTTTGTGGTGATTTTATTTTGTTATTGTCTTTGTCCAGATATGATGCACCATGTCACCTCATTGTTCAAATCAAAATTGAGTTGAATAATGCATCAGTTACATAAAGCATTTTTGTTTTGGACACTCAAAGACGCTATACTGTACATGTCATTATTCTTTCACTCCATACACAGTGTTGATAAACTACTACAGTCTCCACAGCTGCCCTGGGGCACACTGACAGTAGCTAGGCATCCAGTATATGCCTTCAGCCCCTCCTACCACCACCAACCATTTAAACACACACCTGACTCATTCTTGTGGGTAAAGTATCTTGCCTAAGGACACAACAACAGTTAGGCACTTAACAGCTGCAGTCGCCCCACTGTGGCACCAGGTGTTCCCAGAAGTCTCCCATCACAGTACTAACCAGGCCCTGCCCTGCCTCGCTTCAGAGGTCTGACGGGATCTGGCTCTTACATACGGCCAGTATAGTGAAAAGATTCTGAATTAGCGTGTTCTTTCACTGATTAAAAGTTAAAGACCACAGATTTTAAAATCAAAACTAGTTTAGTGTCACACAGTCATGACCTCCTGATGGCACAAGCATTAAAGCTTTCTCTGGTTGACTGTTTGGAGCGTAGAGCCTCATGAAGAAGGCCTCTCCCAACGCTCCATCGCTGCTCAGGTCAGACAGGCATTTTCAATTATTAACAGAGAAAATATGGCTCCAAGGCACAGCGCGATCGGCCGTTACTAAGTGTGAGAGAACGGCCTCGTCTCCAACATCACACATCTGTCTGTTTGGACTTTGTAAAAGAGAACAAAACCATGGGATATTGAAATGTGGGAGAAAAGAGTTTGAACACAAAACTTTGACATCCTGATACCGGGGCTTGAAACCACGAGGTCCCACAAGAGCTGCTTTCCTATGCTTTTACACGGTAAAGAGAAGGAATTGGGATCATGGAGCACGTTTTTTCAATAGAATCATGGAGCTTCAGGTTTCATTTTTTGATAATACCTTAATATGAATCTCTTTTGTAGGCATTCGCTCTTACCGAATGAATACAAAACAAAGGTTACATACACCAACAAAGAAGACTCAAAGCACATCCTTGACACAAAAAGACATTGTTTTCTCACATCATCAGGCTCAAACACAAACTCATTAATAACAGAATTAGGGTCGACAGTAGCTCCGTTGATTGATAGAAGTCTTTGGACCTAATGGTCGTGAGTTCGATTCCACTTCACCTGCTCCCACTGATGTCTGCTGTTGTTGTGTCCTTGGGCAAGACACTTAATCCCACATTGCCCGAAGCCCTCGCTGAAAGACCAAGGCCATCTCATCGATGAAGGAGAAGCCATCTTCCCGTGGACCCATCACCTGCAGGAGGATCAGCGAGGGACTGGTGCTATGATACTTGGGTGGCAGCTCTAATTGCCAACCCCCCGACCCAAAAATGTATTAATAAAGGGGATGAAAATGACATGACAAAACAAAACAGAATTATCCCTGTGGTTTGGTTCCCTCGTCTGGTTTTGTGTTTTGTTTCAGCATGTGGTGTGGTCTTGGAGCAGGCCCAGCTGTCTTCAGATCCTTTCCTTCAGTCCCCCTACATCAGATGTCACTGAACGACTTCCTTGTTAAGTATGGAGACCAGTCTGGAGAGGTTACATTGCAGTCATGTCCTCCATCTTGGTGATAATTTACTCACTTTGATGTGTTTTGGATCTTTGTTTAATACACTTCTTTAGCACTACTTGTCAACAGTGGCCATCTTGTGCCGTTGTTTTGCAAATGACTGGAGTCTTCACAACGCTGCAGTTCACAATGAGGCTAACAAAGGACTTCTTTGTGGATTAAAGGACAACTCACCCTCAAATCCACTTTTTTTTGCTGATAAACGATTTAAATGAGTGTCCAATAGTGTTGTCTACATATCCTGGTCATAATCTTGTCACTTTGGTGCAAATTAGTTGAAAGTAAATCTTTCTGCCTAAAACCGTCTGTGAGGCGCCATCTGCTGGCGACCTGTATTACTACATTTGAATTTTGAATCTGGCGCCAACACTGGCACAGAAGTTGGACCTGACGTCTGCAAGTTGGAACTGACGTCAGCAGCCCCCCGCCCAGAGCAATGTAAACGGCCCAGTCTCGTTCACGCCCCCTTTAGTCCTCCAGGCTACGCCCATTTAGAGGAAGATTTGAACAGGAAATGTGAGTGACGTAAGCTCCGAGGAGCGGGGGTGAGAACCACTTTAATGTCACCCTTTTGGACCATCCATTTGTTCCTTCTTGATCTAAATCTATTTGAGCATTCCGGGAAATATGGAGACTCCGAGAAGCCATCCTCACCAATGAATACATAGCAACACATTCTACCACTATTTGAATGAATATAAAAACATGAATAAAGGTGATATAATGACGTCTGTGGGGGTGGCATCTGTGTGTGTTTGTGTCAGAGACAGCTCAGGAGAGTCAGTTTCGTCTCTGGGTCAAGCAATTGACAAACGATATTTGCAGTTTGATCCAACCCCAATCCAAACTGTGTATGTCCAGAAACATGCAAGCTCCACACACAGGGGTTGATTTTTGAGAATCTATTCCAGATAAATTATCTTTGATTTGGATTTCTGTTTCTTAAAAGTATGTGTGATTTGCAACTCTTTCATTTACACCAGCTGACCTGCTGCATAAACAGACAGATGCACTGCAAATGTGCAAAAGGGCACGGGTGATTGGTGTTGAGTAAAATTATCAACAATGATAGTGAGGGTGTGATGTACAACAATTACACATTTTGAATCTATCATTTTAATTTTAAAGTGAAACTTTACACATTATACATTATTCAATGGCTCATAAGAAAACCTCTCGGCCGCAGTCGCAGGTGTATAAGCTGTGGGTGATTTCCATAATAGTCTGTAATAATAATGTAAATTGTTTGTTTTCATGTTTGCCCAGAAACACCTGGTCGTTTCATTTTACAGCATTCATTATTTCTGTTGGCTTCTTGGTATTCTAGTTTTCTCAAGATCATGCAGGTGAAGAGGATTTCAACTTAAAATACCAACATCAGTCTTTTGGGGAAAGTACGACTGTCACTTGCACGATTCCATGGAAATAACTTCCTCTAGCAGAGCAGAGATGGGGACTCACGAGTTGGACTCTCTTCTGACTCTTACTGTACCGCTCTGCTGGCAGCGTGCCCTAAATCTTTTATAACAAAGCATCCAGTTCTTCTGAAGTACAGCAGCAAGGATCTTTAGAGGCACAAAAAGGAGGGACGACACACTGTAACTCAAATGTTGAATCACTGCCTCCTTGAGTTTGAACCGTTTGATTCTCTGGTCCATGTTGGCAAATTCTATGGTTGTCTAAAGTCCTCCAAGATAACAACCGTTGTGATTTAGGGCGATACAAGAATATATGGAATTGAATTGAATTGAGCTCTGGAGTATGGAATCAAATTTTAACATACAAGGCTATAAACAATAATAATACATTGGTTAAATATAGATATATAGCACTTGTCTGGACACTTATTCCTTCACTCCAAAGTGGTGATAAAGTTTTGAATAAGCTGGAACCGGTAGCTCTGAAACAGTTATTGTTTTGTGTTTTACAATTGTAATTTTTTTTGCTTTTGTTCTACCTGAGATGTTGCTGCAGTAGAGTGTTCATGGTTTTGCACTGGTCCGATCAGGCAAAAATCCACTGGAGGACTTTGAAGTTTTTGAAAAATGTTAACAAAGCATTCAACATTTTACTTTGGACAAGAGCAGAGAAAATTGTCCAAACCAAGCGGCTCCACCTGTGTTTGTTTCTACTTTTACTGGACACCTGAATTTCTCCTACAGGGGATCTATAATCTATCTACGAACTACTACTGTAGCCAAAGTTAATCCGGGGCAAGGCATTCTGTATGTGCCAAAGGTCTGACCCCCACCAACCATTCACACTCTCCCCAGACTCTTTCTAGGCAAAGTGACTGAAATGAAATGAAGGACACAATGGCATCTTGGCTCCCTCCTACCTCCGAGACACCATCCATCCATTTTCTTCCCCTTAATCCATTTCTGGGTTGGGGGGGTGGCACCCAACTGCACCCAGTACACAGAGTACCAGCCCCTCACTGATCCTCCTGCAGGTGGTGAGTCCACAGAGATCTTTCAGCAGGGGCTTCAGGCAAAGTGGGGTTAAGTGTCTTGCCCAAGGACAGAACAGTCAGCAGTGGGAGTCGCAAAGTATGGCTTGTGGTGGACTCAAACCCATGACCTTCAGGCCCAAAGGCCAATGCTCTACCAACTGAGCCACTGTCGCCCCTCCAAGACACATCAGTATCATGTGAAAACTGAGTAGCCGTGGTCAAAAAGAGCGAGACCATGCACTGCTGCAGGGAGGAGAAAGGAGAGAGCGTCGACCGCTTTGACAACATGACCAGCATGCAACAGGACTCCAGCGCCGACAGCTCAGTACAAGTGCCCGTCTGTACACGGCCACAACACGCCAAAAAGACACAGATAGAGCTGCAAGACACAGACCTGGATTATGAGAGCAGTTTCTTCCATGTCCTCAGATTCAGGAAGAACTGAGTGAGCTTTTCATAGTTTCGCACCAGATTATTTGGAGATCTGGTGCGAAACAATGAAAAGACAAACAGTTGTGGTTTGTGAGTCAGCTATTTAGAAGGCTCCCAACGATCCTGCTTTCCATTTAAATTATAACCAATCCTTCAATCAATCACATTGAAAAGACAAATCTGGGATAGTTTTTTGTTTCTTTTTAATCCCAAGATAAAGATTGAGTGAAGGTGTTGCACTTTTTGCAACCAAGGCCAAAAATACATGCATAAATGAAATGTTGAAGCAAGTCTCAGTATTTCCACAGAGATAAGTAACACAATGCACCCTTAACAGTCATATTTTGTAAATGGGGAAATCAAATCTCTACAACAAGTCCCTTAATAACAGCTAACACAACAGCAATTAGCTCACACACCTAAACTATATGCAATTATAGACACTGCATACATTAACTGCTCATAAGTGCACGATCGTGGGAAAACGGCAATTTAGCTCACAAACGTCAACACAAACACAAGCTCATTTATTTAACGTCTAAATAAAACTGTCATTACGTCTGAAATGTCGCTCTTTCGCGTCTCCCCCGGGAACGCGCTAATTAGAATGTAATGTCACGCACTCTGTAATGTGTACCGCTAATTGCGCAGCACAAAAGTAGAATCTTGTGTATGTATATGTGTGTATGGATGCATGTGTGCGTGTGTGTGTGTGTCTGTGTGTAGGGGGGGGGACTTGACGCTTTGAGAAATGAGTAATAAAACGTGGATCTGGGAGCGGGTAAAACACCTGAATCATTGGCATTTATGCGGTGCCAGCATCGGAGAAGCGAGAGCGGCTTATCGGAGCTGTCAGAACACGGCTCCTCAAATAGCCCGCCAGTCGGCTGCGGGGGATCGCAGAAATGGGTCGGGATAAGAAAACTTTTACATCGTGGCTTTCTTTATCCAGCCTTTCTTCTACTGGTTTTCTCTTACCAATTTGTAGCGCATCTAATCTGGCGCTTTTCTCCTGTGATGGCACTGAAGAGCCGGGGGAGTGATCTTGTCAGCTGCTGTACACAAAAGCCTATACTTGTGTTTCTCAGCTTTTGCAAGAGAAACACAAAATAGACAAAAAAAGCTTCAACTATATATAACATATGGATAACATGTGTGCCATGATGTGCGTGTTGGGGCTGAGAATGCCATGGGTGCTGCAGGGGGAAGAAGCTGTGCCGTGGTTGGGCTGGTGGCCAAACAATAATGAAGAGAATATGTGTCACCATTTAACAACTTGTGAAATTCTATATTTAATCAGGAAATTGTATAGTTTTAAATCAAAAGTGTTTTCATATTAGTCTGAAGTCAATGAGTTTACAGCAAAAACAATAACCTATAGATAGCCTTGAGTATGTTTCTCTCCACGAAGGGAGTCTTCCTTTCCCACCAAACAGAAGATGGGGCCGGACGAGACCGGATTCAGAAGTCTGCAATGAAGCCAGATGACGTCTAGAAATTCCTGTACACATTCCATAAAACTGCATTCTGTACATTCTGTTTGGCTGCTCACAGAGGGAGAGGCCAGGGATAGGACAGTCAGGATATGAGCTCTGAGTTTTGTATTTGAATGTAAAGATAATTAAATACTGTTAAACTCTGAATTCTTGGGTCTTCTTATTTCTGTATCAAATTCTGAGACACGTCCGTCATTTTTGGACAATAGAAACTTAAATGAATTTATACTGAAAGTTTGTGTAAATGTAAGTTTTTATGGGAAAACAGAAGTATACTCAACACTGAAAAAAGCTAAATCTTGGTAAGATAACATAAAAATAACAAATGATGCTAATGACGTTTTTTTTTTGCTTGAATGTAGTTTGTCATGTATAATTATTATACTAGTTTTAAGTCATTGGGGGCTAGTATTATTTTCTTATTTTCAGATATCTTGTCAAGTCATATTTCTTGTTCTATTGTCACTTTAAGCAGTAATTTACTTGTTTTCATATATTTTCTCATTTTTCCAGGGATTTTTTTTCCACTGAATGCCTTGGCTGGGAAGCACTGAACTACACAAACATCCAATGGATTTAAACCATGTCCAAGCACTTTTTACAAACAGAGTTGAAAAAAATTTCTGGATAAAATCAAATTTTCAAATGCTATTTCGGCACAAATATATACACATATATATATATATATATATATATATATATATATATATATAGATACAATACATGCTTTCTCCCGTGTACTGTACCTGCTCAGTGTGGCTCAGGTCTTTGTCGGCGCCAGAGCAGCGGAAAAAGGACTTTTATCACTAATCTGGGCGTCTGTCCGTTGTGACTTTCCAAAGCTGCTTTCTAAGGAACATATGTTCTCTGCCAAGTGCCTCGCTTCAGTGAATACGACATGAGGCGTGAAGTGTGCGGCACGGCCCGCGGCGGAAGGCGCCGTAATGAGACGCTCGCTCGGTCTGCAGCCTTTAACACGGCTCTGGGCTTTGCACATTTGTTTTAGCTGTTTACGGAAACAAAGTCAGTTTGACATGTGGCAAAGCTAAGTGGCAAGTTTAATTGTATAGCACAATTCATACACAAGGCAACTCAAGGTGCTGAACAAGACAAGATAGAAACAGTCACACAAGGCATTCAAGTCATAAATAATCACAGTACATTAAAAAGAATATTAAATCCCTCAGAACTGTTTTTAACCTGGTTTTAAACATTGTCAGAGAAGAAGCCTGTCTCACATTTTCAGGAAGACATTTTAGCATAAATCTGAAATGCAGCCACACCGTTCGTCGTGAGACAGGTTAGTTTTACCCTACTGATGATGTGTTGTTGCAATAGTAATTCTGCTTAGTTCTGACTCTGGCACCAGCAGGAGAGCAGTCCCTGTGCTCCTCAGAGTCTCAGCAGGAGGCCGGTCCCTGTGCTCCTCAGAGGACGATACAGAGACTTGATACAATCCTTAAGTTGGTCCAGATTTTATTAATAATAATAAAAAAAATAATGCATCGGTTTTATATAGCGATTTTTTTGGACAATCAAAGACACTTCACATGTCATTATTCTTTCACTCCATACGCTGGTGATGAACTATTACTGTAGCCACTGTCACTGAGCCGTTTTAGCTGCATCAATCTGAAACGCTGCCTCCCCGTGTAAATATAGCTAAGGAAGCTTCATTTTGTCTTCTTAGTCGATTAAGTTCAGTATGATTAAGTTTGTTTCAGACAATTGTAAAACAGTGACATCATCACCTTGACATTTTCTGTCTTACTCAGAAGAATACCAACAGAAGATGAAATCATCGGTATCAAAAAAGGACACTTAGGCCCTGTTTATACTGAGACACTGCGCAGACGTTTCCAGGCTAGAAACAGAAACGACCAGGCTCCTAATGCAAATTTCACAGCGTTCATGTGAGGATCAAAAACGATGTAGTTCTAGCGCCCGGTCAGTAGTGGGCAGAGGAACTTTACAACACGACACACGCAACCCCCAGCCCCATGCCCAGCCCCCCCAGCAGTATACTCACTTCCTCTGCAAGACGCACCAACATCATTCTGCATTTTAACAGCAGCTGTGAAAATGGAAACTGAACCTAGAGCTTTGCATGGTCTCGTTTGGACGAACGAAGGAGTTCTCCCCCATTGCGCATGTCCGAATGTACGTGTGGGGAGCAGCGGGGAGTTGGGGTCAGAGCAAACAGAGATTTCACACCTTTTTCCCTCACGCGAATGTGAAAAAGCTCCCTGCTGAGCAGCGTTTCTGAGTTGTCCCACTCTGCAGGCTGGATCTGAACACTTACGTTTTCACCCCCTGGAACAGTCTCCGTATGAACGGTTGGTAGCAACACATCATCCAACTATAGCGTTTTACTACCACATTGTCTCCGTGTAAACGGCCCTTTAGTAAGTAAGGTTTGTTTATATAGCACCTTTTAAAGACCAAGGTAAACCAAAGTGCTTTAAAATTGTGTTCCAATATTTATTCCATTCCACAGTGAGGACGGAAGCGAGACGCCGAACACACTGGCACATCAAACCCCCCAACCAACACCATCCATTCACTCACTCATTACATTCAGACCTATTGTGCATGTTTTTAGTGGTAGGGGAAACCGGAGCACCCGGAGAAAACCTATGCAAACTCCACTCAGAAAGTAAGTAATAATTGATAAATAATTACACAATAAGCCCACAAAGGAAAAGAATAGGGCGTTGATGGCAGTGATTGATCAATAATTGTTCCAGCCCTGATTTTCTTAAATTAATGCCTTTTGCAGCTGTATTCCAATGTGGTTTTACTGCAATTGGCAAAAAAACTGAATCTTCTAAAATCCGGTGTAAAATTCAATGTATGGATGATATTGTGACGCCACACCATTATGCCATTAGAATTAAAAGATTACATTTAATTTCCCAAATGAGCAGAGCCTACGAAATTAAGACTTTTCTGTAAAAGGGGCAGAGCTCAGAGCAATACGGCTGGACTGAATGCGGTAGTGCCTCTGCTCGTCTCTTCTATTACGTCAGATTTAAAAGGATGTACCACAGCGGTCATAATTCCCACTTTATAGCAGACAGAAGCAAATTTCATCTCCAATTCAAACCAAACTAATTTCTACTTTTCACAGCATTTACAACTGACTCTGCGGCAAACATTTGAAAAACAATTCTTCAAATGCCTCACTCAGCCCACTGCTATTTGTGATGTTTTCAAGGCCATCTCCGCACGCCACTTGTTTTTATCTGACAAAATAGTCTGCCATTAACATTTAATTGTGCAGCTTCTCACCACAGTCCGTCTGGCCACATCTGCTGATTCCCTGACGGCTCGCTGGCATCTTTTAGTGAGCTTTAATGGGACGCTCAACTGGATAATAGCGAGTTGTGAAATGGAACAATCTTATGTGTTTGTAGACTTGGAGAATGGAGCCTTTTAACTGGCGTCTGGAGTGTCGCAGCAAGCCTCCTCTTCACACATGAAAGAGGCTTTTGGTCTAGCCACCCCCAAAGTCTGT